CCGGCGACCGGGTGCTGACGGGCCTGGAAGCAGCATGCCGGCGTACCTTGGCCACGCCGAGGGCGATCTCCAGGCGGATTCGCCAAGGGAGGTCCCGGCGCTGGACCACATACGAGAGATTGGCGCTGCCAGCCTTCGGCCGGCGCGAGGGGGGGGACAGGTCCTTGAAGGAGGGGTCCCCGGGGCGGGGGTCCGCGGCGCCGGGCCCCACAAACTCGGTCACCACACACAGGCGCCCGTGGCGGTCCCGGGCGCTGCCCATGAATTGCACGATGTTCGGATGCCGGGCGGCCGTGAGGATGGAAATCTCGCGGGCCCAGTAGCGCTCGAGCTCCTCATTCGAGAGCACCACCTCATCGGAGCCGCCCTTCAGCGGAACGGTGATCTCCTCGGAGTCGCTGCCGCTGTCGGAGAAGTTGTCGAAGGGATCCTCCTCGGAGGAATCCTCGCCGCCACTGCCGCCGTCGGCCGTCTGGAGCATGGATCGCGGCGGGGGGTTCAGGCATTTGATGGCCACCGGCGTGCCGAAGAGCTCGCCGGCGAAAACGCCGCCGAAGTTCCCGCGACCGATACATCGACCGAACTCGAGGTCCTCGTAGCGAAGGCTAAGCGAGTCCATGGCGCACGAGAGGGAGAGGGGGCGCGGCGGGGGGGCAGAGGCGTGTCGCGCTGGAGGGGTTTCAGGAGGGCGCGGCGGGCGAGGAAAGGCAGGGCAGGGAGGGGAGGGAGGGGGAGAGAGAGGGGGAGAGAGAGGGGGAGAGAGAGGGAGAGAGAGAGAGAGAGAGAGAGAGAAGGAAGGAGGAGGAGAAAGGGGGTATCTTTGCCTGGGGCCATGGGGCTGTGAAATCCCGGAGAAAAATCTGTGTCTATCTGGGATGCTTACTACCTGGGCGGGCTCTGGGGACAGGCGATCTGTCCGGGCCCGGGGCGAGAACGCTGGCAGCTGCTGCGCCCGACGGCCCGGCCCCAAGCGGGAGTTGCGTCCGGCCGCCCCGTCCTCCTTCGCACGACGCACCCGCGGCCGCAGGACAAGAGCAACTCCGGGTTGGGGCGACGGCGGGGGGGGGG